TCTCTCCCTGGATCGTGCATTGTCCTCCCTTAAACCATTGATCATGGCCATCATCTCCTCCATGGTAGGGGGTTGCGAGTTGTTGTTGTTGCCGCCTCTCGCCATGGTAAAGTGTAGGTCTTTCTGTATGACTTGGGGCGTAGGAAGAGTTTCACCGTAGCCCCACGGTGGGCGCCAAACTGTTCCGGCCAAGGGGTGGACTAGGGTTTTTTCCTAGGTCGTGCCTCAAAGCCAGAGCATTCAAAAGTGTGTTCTGCCGTCTCAATTCTAGGGTTTCAGGCTTTATGGTGCGTTGTTCGTGGGCCTCTTAGACCCCGAGGATCAAGGGATTTCCCTAACCGTTCTTATCACGATGATGCGAGATCAACGGGAACGAGCTTAGTCGGGGTCCGACCGACAGGGTCTATACCGAAAATCCAACGAGATAAGTGCCGAGTGGTTCCCTAGTAGGCAAGAGGAATCGAGCTCGCTAAGCCTAATCGGGCTATGACCGAATAGGCTTTTACTGAACCCTACATCGGGTTAATACCGAGTAGGAAATCATGGTCACCTTATTTCCGAGTGCCCATAAGGCGAGAGGTTTTAGGGCCTGGTTGCCAAGTCGGGTAATTTCCGAGTATAGGGCTGTTGATGTCCTATCACCGTTAAGGAGATCAGATCGGCCCCCGACCGAGACGGTACAAAAATCAACTTCAATTATATAAGCTTACTTAATTTTAATTCGTTTAGACCCAATTTTTCTTACTTAATCTTGATTAAAAAAAAAGTTTATGTATTGGTATATAACCTATATAAGTGCTAACTTTTTTTTGACAAATATATCAATATGTTTAAGTATTTACAAATAAATAGAGTATCATTGTCTTAAAGATTTGTATAATACTTAATAAATAATGTATTTTTTTTTACTTATATAAAATCTTAGTCCGTTAATTTATCAACTAAGAAATAAGTTTTTAAATAAATCTTTAATTCCATTAAAAAGTATTTATTTTTGAAATAGAAAATCGATAAGATGGCTATTAAAATCCACCATTATAAGATTATCCATAAGAAAGTAAGTTTATGCTTGTAAAAAAAATTGTAAGATTTTCCATAAGATTATCTTTCGTTATGATCATCATTTTTTTTAATACACAGATATGAAAGGTCTCAGTGGGTCAAAAAGCCTACTAAGTCAGATCCCGTGGGCCATGATGCGTTGACAACAGTGGCAAATTCAACATCATCGGTTAATGGATAGGAACATTTTTTTTAATGAATCTTGTTCATTATTAACTGAAAAAATATAATTGAGTCTGGTTCTAGTAAACTTTAAACTCATAAAGGTTTCTACCCTTAAAAAATTTTGAATTTCATTCTAAATTTTAAAAGATATCTCTAAATCAGGGTTGCCTTACTTTTATAATTTATTTTGGTTATATAACTAAATATAATATCTTTAATATACTTTCATACCAATAAACCATTTTTATAACTTTTATATCAATAAACCATTTTTATTAAATAAAATTGATTAAAATGATCTTTTAATCTTATAATTGCACTTGTTTTTTATTTTTTAGTTTTATACTTGTAATTTTTTAATTATTTTAGTTTTTATTGTTGATTTTTTTTGTGATATCAATTTTGTATTGACGTGGTAGAGATTTTTAATTTTGTGAGACAAAAAAATTGTCTCAACAATGATCTTTTCAGATGGGGATACAAAAGGGACACAAAATATTAAAAGAATAATTTCAGCAAAATAAATTTAACATCACACATAAAGTTGAATTAATATATTTGTTATATCTATACAAATATATAAAGGGGATATCTTTTTCAGTAACCACCTTGGTCTCTAATTTTTTTTATCATTATACCCTTTTATTTTAAAAAATTAAAAAAAAAATTTTAATCAAATTTAAGATTGAAACTAATAAATCTATATTAATACTAATATATAAAGGGGATACCACTTTCAATAACTACTTTGATTTCTATTTTTACATGTACCATTTTATCATTTATTTTTCAATAATTACTTTTTTTATGAGTAACTTCTCATTTTTTTTCCTTATTATATTTTTTTTAATACAATGCAAATACGAAATACATTTTTCCTGCTAGTCAACATAAAGGAGGTAACGTTACAAAAAATTAACGAGAAGATCAAAAGGATAAAAACCTGCGAGTATAAGAATTAATATACAAAGGTCTTTTTTTCACTAATACATATAATTTTAATAAAAATTAAATATTTATTTTTATTAAAAATTACATATTTTCTTGTATATATTTTTTTTACTTAAATATGTTTTTAGTCACCGTAATATATACATATTATAATTTTAATATTTATAATAAAATGTTAATTTGGTCCTTATAAAACTATATTTTATAATTTTTTATTCTCTGGCATTATTTATTGATGATGTGAAAAATATCTATAAAAAAAATTAATGATTAAAATCATAAAATATGGTATATAGGAATCTTATCAAAATTTACATTTTATATCAACGAAAAAATTGAAAAATAATATTTTATAGAGACCAAAACAAACTCAAAAAATTATAACTTAAAAACATAAAATAAATATATTGTAGGAACTATAAACATAGTTAATTCATGTTTCCTCCTCTCCTAATTCCCCCCTTCCCCACTCAGTGTTGGTCCAAACAATAGGAATTTAAAAAAAAAAGTAGAAGAACAAAAAAAAAATTTAAACGGTAAAGATTAAAAGATAAAATAAAGGAAATGTATTGAATTAAGATTTTAATAAATTTTAAAAAACCTTTTTATTATAAAAAAAAAGTATTATGATGTTTAAGTAATATTTTTTTAATATAAAAAAGTAATGTAGTTGTGAAAATCAAGATTTTTTTAATAGTCCATTAAAATACAGTGATATTCAATTAAGACGATAAATTTTTCTTTTAGGAGTTTGTTAAAATTTAGTGATATTCAATTAAAACTTTTTTTTTACTTAAAAAAAGACTATTGGTGTTAAAAAAAAATATTGAGATTTCAATAGATTATTTTAAATACTTGATTTTGTGAGACTTTTTAGTATACTTTACATGTAATTTACCCATCAAACAATGTCATCATCGCACATTTTTTTAGCCTTTTATTTTTTTCTTTCTTTCTTTTTTTCTCAAGTCATTCTTGTTTCTCTCTCCTTTTTTTCTTTGTCTCATTTTGTCATTTTCTTTTTATTCACTTCTTTCATTTATCTCTTTTTTCCTTAGTCTCATTTTTTTTCCTCTCATTCTCTATTGCCTTTCTTGTTTCTTTTTCTCTTTCGCTATCTTTTTCTTATCTATCTCTTTTCATCTCTCTCATTATCACTTCTTATCTTTCAATCCTTTTTTTTTATCTATAAATTAAAATATAATTGATCAATATTTAGTTTTTTTAAAAAAAATTAAATATTAAAATTTATTTTTGTAATATTAAATATTATCTATTGTTAAAAAAATTTAATTATTTAAATGTTTCCTTTTAATAAAATTTAATATTGAAATATAAAATTTTGAAATGTATATTAAAAGAACTTTGTAGGTCATGATAATGACCCAATGAAGCTTTCAATTTATGGCATGCATCCTTTACAAATGTGATTAAGAGGATATATAGTATTTTTAAATCATGTTTCACAATTTTTAAGTTAGAGTCTCTATTTCTATTTAAAACACAAACTGAACTTATATAAATATGTAATATTACATAACTTGTTTTTACAAATAATGTTATTATGATGAATTTTCAATTAAATTAGTGGATGAATGTTCGTCTTCAATGCTATTAGTTAATGAAAGGTCAAAAACTATAATTTTAAACATAGTATTAATACTTAAGTGCATGAAAGAGAATATGTTAGTACACAAGGACTAATATAACTTTAAACATGTAAATAAATGTTAGTTAGAAAAATATTAAAGTCAATCATTTGTCAAAAAATAGAAATAATTATTTTTTTAAAAATAGAAAAATTATATTAGTTTTACTTTTTTTAATTAAATCTTGTAATATTACAAATCTATGTTTCTTATGAAGTCCATAAAATCCTTTAAAATTTTATAATATAAATTCATCAAAATCCACTAAAATCTATTAAATTTTAAATTACAAAGTGTTGATTAAAATCTTAAAAGTTAACATTCCCACAAAAAAATTTAAAATTCATTAAAATTTACTGAAGTTTTTATACTAAAATTGTGTTTCAAAATCCTAATCCAATACAATTTCTTAAGTAATATTATATAAATCAAAAAAATATTTTAATCAATAAAATTTATATTAACATTGTTTAATATAATGTTAGTATATGAAGGTATTGAAGATAGAAATTGGCGTGTGCGGGTAAACACAGTGTCGAACACATGAAAACTCCATTCTTTTGTGGTTGCCTGGTTGGAAAGGAACATGGTTTGGGATCAAAAACGCCCAACGCTTTGTTTCTTTTGCTCTACACATAAAAAACGCTCCTTTTTTTGTCTAAATTAGTTCACACGTAAAATGTCATGACTAGCCTACGTATATTTTCTTTTCCATTTCCAACAAAAAAAAAAACACTTAGGACCAAGTGTTCTATTTATATTGTTGTTAATGCGACAAAATAATTCATTTCCAAAAATAGTTTTTTAAAAATATAATTTTTTTAATTTATTTAAGTTGGTCAAAATTCATCAGATGACAACCTTTTGGCGGATATATTCTTATTTCATTTCAAGATCCATTCTTCCCATTTTTGAAGTTGAGGTCATCAAAATGTCTCCCTCAACGCATTATAAAAGAAAAAAGATCATCAAAGACAAATGGTATTATTATATATTACCATATACAATTTTCTTCTCACACAAGTCATAACCTCCCAACAGTTGCCATGTTAGCAAAGATGATATTAACATTAAGAGAACGTTGTATATTTTGCATTTAGTACATATTCCTTTGCAGCTTTAAATGTACCAAAATATAGTACATAGACAATTCTTTTTTGGAATATACTGAAGTTCATAACAACCTGAACATTTCATCACAACATTGATCAAAACGAAAAAGCTAAAACCTTGTGTGTACAAATGCACCAGCTTTAACCTCTCTATTTGTCAAATCCAATGGATGCAATATACAGCCAATTTTTGTAACAGGCATGAATTTTGTAATGAGATTTCAACAGACAAAAAACCAGTAAACACTCCAACATATACGTTGCCGAAGAAGATACCAAAATAATAACACTAAGAACCTAAAGTCCTAAAATAAAATGCATTTGAATTCCTCAATTCCAATTTACAAAAGAAGCACCAAAACCTGGCCCTCCAAGCATCAAATTAAGGGACAGAAGCTCTTGAAGACTCAGCAGCATCCTCTAATCTTAATGTTATGGGAACTTCTTCAATCATTTTACCTTTATCTGCTGAGCCTTCCACAGCCTTGTTCAACCTTTTCAACCATATATCATAGTCAACAGGGTATGGAGTTCCACAAAGGCTATCCACATAATCAGCAAATGCTTTCAATAGAGCAGAAACCTGACCAATACGTTGCTGGATCAAACGCTTTGCCCAGCTTCTCTCTCGCCATTGTAATGCAGACTCAATAGAATCTTGTAGAGACATGGTTCCTCCACAAATGAAATAGAGGATATAGACAACGTTTTCAGCATCAGAAGAGGGACACAGCTTCCCATGCTGAAGTGCATGAGATGATGAGAACTGCAAGTTTATAGCAGGGCTGTCTCTATCTTCCAACACGGCACGCCCCCAAGATATGGGGACATACATATTAGCTTGGTTTCTAAGACCTTGTTTTCCAACTACACGTATTATGTTCTCTGGACAAATATCACCATGCTGAACATTAGCCATGGCTGCACTTCTTAGAGCAGCTAGACAGTCTCGGCACAAGCGCGTTGCTTCGTCAGCAGAAAATGACCCTTCATTGGCAATTACAGATGATAGTGGCTCCCCTATAGGAGATGTCACCAGTATTGGAGTTCCACACCAAGGGTGATCACACCTTCCCCCAGGGCTCTCTTTCTTGCAGGGTCCAGAATGTAAAATCCTACCAGAGGCAACAATTTCAGGTAAGTATTTGCTTAAGATTCCCTGGTTCCTCAAAATGTTTAGAACTTTTGTTTGGCGTTGCACCTGGTACCAGAGGCTCATATCCTCCAAGGAAGGCTCAAGTCTAGATGGATGAGCACCTACATATAAAGTCAATAACTCTGAGGGATGATCAGGAGAAACTGCACTGTAGAGATAATAGTACCCTCCTACTAGAGAATCATGAATTTGGAAACTCTTCTGTCCTTGCTGTGGATCATCCAAGACCAATATGTCACCACACTTGAGCTTCAGCCGTGATGCTCGGTTATTTGAAAATAATTCATTTTGATCAAGCTCAACAATCTCCCCTGCTTGATGTTCAGTTGTCCCATAATAAGGAACCAGTGCATTTTCAGTCTCAATGATGCAGCATTCTGTTCTGCGCTTCTGAAGGCGAAGGCTATGATCTGAAATCAATGAGGCTACTGATTTTCGCGGAGGTCCATTCCATTGTGCAATGGAGTAGAAAGTTGCCAATAGTATTTGTAGAGTTCCTATGTCCCCCCAGTTAGGATTTCCTAATCGGTTCCATATTGGTTCCACTGGGGTAACACAAATTTCAGTGTAAGTTTTGATCCATTCAGCCACTGATAGATATGGATCGCTTGAATTCAATAAATCAAGTTTGCCAAGGTCACCGCTGAACTTCATCACTGCTCCACATTTAGAATCTAGAACTAGAAGGAAAACTGAGTCACTGTTGACAGAACTAATCTTGCTCAAACTCCGTGAAACAAGAACATGGAAACCATAAAAGAGAGCTTCACAAATAGTGCTGGCAGATATTCCTAAATCCTTGTCCAAGAATACTTCTGGCTTGAATAAGGCAAACTCTACCATATGATCCCATCTAAATTTTGAATCAGTGGCAGTTTTTGATAATAAAGCTAAACCACGCATTTCCCTCAGCCTGCCCCTTGATATAGCCTTTTCAACACTAATGAACTTTGAACCAATATGAGGGGGGCAAGAGACACATAATGGCAGTGGTCCACTTTTATGCCAAAATGTACGCCAGAGTCCAATGATAATGGCATGAAGGTAATCTTCTGCAGCCAAATATTGGTCTTCTATAAGCTCATCAGAAACATCAGAGAAGATTGGCATACGAACTAGTTGCTGAAATGGAACCCCCTCTAATGCCAAATCAAGTTTACACAATTCATCAGTTGTGAAGGGAGAACGAAAACTTTGCATTCCATCTGTTGAATCACCATTTAGATTCTCCAGCACCCACTCCTCAAGATATTGAGTGAATAACTCCAAGTCAACCAGTTTCCTTCCATATTCCTTGAGCCCCTTTAAGACTCTTCTGGAAATAGGAAGAAACTTGCTCAATCCTGAGGTCCCAGAGACAGTACTAGCAGAAATTACTGCAATATAGCAATCATGTTATACTCATGTAAAATAGTAAAAACTGAATATTAGCAATTATTGGGGTGGGGGTGGAGGGGGGGACTACATTTACTTGGTAAAGCTACTTCTAAGCACTGAAGCACGAAAACATAATAAATGATAAAAGGAAAAAGCTTACAAAGCAGAACCAAACCAGAAAATATATCACATGCCTCCAGCAAGTATTTGAATGATACTATCATTAGAGATGCATTTACAGTGTAAAAACACTTAGCTAATAGCAATATATGTATTTGCGGGTATGTACTTAACTACTTATTGCCAAGCTTGTGTTTCATCAAAATTTTCTTTCCATACACGTTTGTTAATAGTCTTCAACCATACACTGTTATTTCATTGAAGTTTACAACTACTTGGTGTATGTTTGGGAAAGTGTTTTAAATAACGTAACTGATCTTTCTCGCTTTCCAATGCTAAAAAGTAGAAGTAAGGAGATACTTGCTTTAAGTTTAACGTGCGTTTTTTTGGGTTTCAACATCAACCCAAACACACTATAGACATCATTATCCCTCATAGTTTCTTAAACACGAATAGGTCACTGAGCCAACATTATAAAATCAGTGTGAGAAGGGTATAGCATTGGAAAGATAGAAAATACCCCCAATTCAAGACAGAGATTAAAGAAAGAAAGAAAGAGATTAATACAAACCAGAGTTAGATTTCCTGAAACTTCCATCCAGACTTTTTCCTGGAGATAAATCCGATCCATTTTGTAGAAAACCTGTTTTGCATAATTTATACGGTTAAGCATCAGATAAATCTTTATATCCACTGACCAAATAAATAATTCAGCATTGCCATAAAAGCAAATCTTTATTTATAAATACTATTAGCCTTCTTCAGTGTCCCAAATTCCAATTGCATTAAAAACAGAAACTGCATTTGAGAACACTTCTGTTTAGTACTAATCCTTCAACTCTTGAGGCATTAGATTGATGAATTCTTTTCTCTGATACAACTTACAACTACAAGGAACAAAGTACACATACACAAAAATAGAATAATAAATTTTATTCCTCAAGACTCATTTTCTCTTCAAATATAAACACTGTATATTTTCTTTTTCCTTTTTTCTTGTTGGTTTCAATTATCCCCTTTCCCAACTAAATTCTTTTCCATTAATTTTATACAAAAGAGTGTTATCTTCAACAACAAAGTGGAAACAAGCAGGTGAAGTTGTAGGGGAAAGCAATATTGCACCAATAATTGCAGAACAATAACTATTTCATGTTATTTGAATTTATGAACTGTTTTGTCAGTGGAATTTATGAACTGTTCTTTTTCAGCAATAGTTTTTAATTCTTAATCTTTTGAATTGATTTTGATTTGCTCAAATGGTATTGATTTGGCTTTTACCAAAAACAAAAAGTAGTATTATTTTGGCAGTTGATACTTGTATAATTTTTTCTGTGAAAATGATCCCTTATACTCACTATTTTATTACTTGACAAGTTGACTTGACTGGTATACTTGATTGAAGAAAAGGTCCTAATTTTTCTTCACTCCCCATCACCCCTATTAATAAATACATTTAGCCAATAAAAAATGAACTGACCCTACAAATATTCAGTAGTAAAGCTTACAATATATAAAGTGACTTAAAAAGATAGTAGAAAAAAAGCTTTAACTCCTGCAGCAACTAGTGATTGACAGTGCTGCAATCACAGTGTTCAGTAGATGGAAAAATAAGGGATGCACGGCTATATGAGTTAATTTTATCCCAACTTACTGACATTGTTTTCACAAGCCCGATCACAGTTACCGTGGCTTAAGCACGCATAACACAATCTTTATCCATCATTGTATAAAAATAAATGCGGAAATTCCATTGATTGGAAGCCAATTTTTACAGTGTGAGACACCAAAGTTACTTTTTAATCCTTCTGTTTTCTTGCCGTATTTAGTCTACATTTTGTTATTGTCATCTTTCTTTTTTAGTTGGTTCACAATTCACATACATCTCAAGGTACAAAGTATTCATCACACAAGAACTTTATTGTACAAATAAAAAAAAGGACAAAAGAGTAAAACCTCCACATTGCTATCACTAGAATGAAAAGCAAGGAAGTTGCTGTCATATTCACACCAATATTAATTCTAGAGAATAGAAGACAAATGAATCGTTCAAGTAAAAAAACATATCAGATAAGTCATACAAAACCACCCAAGAGCCTGCTTCCAAATTAATTTGATCTCACTACAAAGCCAACAAAGAAGGAAAAAGGGACCTTTTTTTTTCTTGTCACACTGAACTAGATTATTCTCGTTTGCGGTACTGTGAATGCTGCTAGTCCGATGAATTTACACACACAGCATCATCGAACACAAGTTTCTCACTAAGTAGATCATCCTCACAATATGTGAGTGGGTAACTAGCCTAGACCAACCCATTGGATTAGGGAAAAGGGACCTAGACCTATAGTCAGAAACTAATTTTTTTTCATGCGTAAAAAGTGAATTTTGTTTTCCCCAACAAAGTCTTTCCCATACTACAAAATCGAACCCCCTATAAATGGAACCCACCTATCTACCAACAATTGTGCTATACCTTATTGATAAACTGATAAATATGTTCACATGTTTTTATATAGTAATTGACCCATGTCAACATAAACAAACCCCATTGAGCAAAACAAAACACAACACATTCTCAACAAAAATTCAAAAACCAATTCGAAAGCGGAACTCACCTAATTGCATCGCGACCCAAAAGCTGAAAACTTTCACGGACAATACTCCAATATCCCCCGAGAGCTCGAAGCCCACATTGCTCAACCGAGGAGAGGCAATGGCTGAGGAGGGTGACAGGCAATGACAATGCAGCCAAAAGAGAAACAACAACAACAACAACAACAACATGGGACGACATCCAACAACGTGGTAGATCTCAAAGCATTATCAGAGGAAAACGACAAAGGTGACATCTTGTTCTAAAAGCTGAAACAACACAACAGCTTATGTTTCTCTTCTCTTGTGGGGAAGGGAAAGTTTACTTTTTGGTGCTGTGGTTGTGGTTACAAGTTGGGAACATGAAGCACTGTTGCGGATTCAGACATTGTAGGAGACAGCAACAATAACAGGAAGAAGAAAAGTATAAAACATTGAGCATTAGCGTTGGCAACGACAGGATGTGAAGCTATAAATAAAAAAAGCTGCGGAAAACCCAATGACCTTGTCTCCAACCCATAGGCCATAGCTCTTTCTTGGCAGTTGGTCCCATCGATAATGATGTCTCACAATTTCTCTCCTCCACTTTCCTATCCCCAAGCGCGTCACTTCCAAACCCCTTTTACATTCTAACGAAATATGAAAATAATTACCTCGCACTTTGCACACACTTTCAATTTTACCTTTTTTTAATGATTATGTTAAGTTTAATTACATTTTTTTAGTTTCTATTCTTTATTTTTGTCTCTAAAAATTATTATTTTAAGTTTAGTTACTTACAAATTATTGATTCAAGTGATACTAACTTATCCTTTTAAATAAGGTCTTTTATTTTAATATTGTGTATAAAGAAAAAAAATGATTAAAAAGAAAATTTTCACTAAAAGATGATCAATCTGATTTTTTAATGGAGATTAATCGTCAATAAAATCATCAAGTTTATATCTAAATTAGAAAAAAATTTAAGTCTCACCAAAATTTATAATTTTAATAAATCTCAATCAGTTGTAAGTGAAATATTAAAAAGATAGTACTTAAAATAATATTTCGAACATGAAAAATTATAAAAAAAAAATTCTTAAACACTCATTTATTATTATTTTCTCTATTACTGGATGAAAATGAAAAATCTTATTATTAGATTAAGAGAGACTCGTTAAATAAACTATAAGACTATAAAATTTAACATTTTAAAATTTTTTTATTCAATATCAAATAGCGTAAGAGTGATTAAACATTAATATTTCTCTTTTACTAACATTTCTCAAATTTACTTAAATCGTTGTATCTACCAAGTTTCTTATTTATAATTTATCCTTTTAATATAGTTTCATTCATTCATAGTAAAAATATATTATTTAAATGTTTTTTTTATCATAACAACATTAATTACCCACAAGCATTCTAGTTAAGTTGATGCAATTATAGTATTTTTTAAGCCAATTAATTCAAATATTTTTGTATTCTTTTAACTAGTAGCCTAGTAGTATGCATTTATTCACTACTATTTCGTATTCAATTTGTCACAAATATTAATTCAATTAAACTAAATATTATATAGAATTAAAATGGAGAGATCCAAATAGATAAAATAGTGAGTATAGCAAAATTAGAGAGATCCAATTAGCACAACCGAAGCTCCAAAATGGAATAAAAAAAAACTTTGAAATTTAAAAAATAATGAAGAAGAAAAATCTCACAATAGCAAATAGATAATGAAGCCATTATTTTATCTTCGTGATAAGGAATCTTTATGTATTTTATCCTAGTAATATTTCCTTTTCTACATCAAGAGATTTGTAAGGAATAAAAAAAAAAAGTCAATGGCACAGTAACCCTTAGTTTAAGCCAATCTAAGAGACACTACATATTTTTAATATCTATTGATTTTGAAAAACAAGTTCCCTCTAAAACATTTAGCTTATAATCAATGTATGATTTTCTAATATGATGGGGATTTTCTGAAGTAGTACTATACGTAATGTATTGAGAAAAGAGAAGTCCACATGAATATTGAATAGTAAGGAATTTGTGAAATCCAGTTAACACCTTTTGTCTATTACTTTAGAGTTTAGACCATAACAAGAAGTACAAAGAAGTGAAGGAAAAATGGAAGTGTATCACAGTGTCTCCCTTGGAGCGTGAGTGTTGATCATAATTTGCTGTCATGTTATCCCTACGCTTTTCCATGAATTTTATAATGACCCTCTTGGTTGGCCGGTTAGTTAATTTTCTGCTGCATTTCTCAATGGGGCCATGCCTCCCTTGCTTTCCTTGAGCCATCTAAGTAGAACCAAGTTTTTGGTGGGTGAGGATATAATACACACACAAATGCAAATGATTGTCAGTGAAATTAGACTCCATTTTTTAAAAATACAATAAAGAATAATATTAAAAATAGTTAGATCAAATTTTTTGACAAAAATAATAATGGTAAAATTCATGAATATTTTGTACTAACAACAAGTATTATTAAAAATAAAAATACACTTGGCTGTTTTTGTTTAATTCAAGTGTTTGGGTAAGTGAGAATTGGAATCTCCTTGATTAAGAACAGGTCCAAAAGCTAATTATATTTGTGTGCATGTGTACAGATATTTGGGTTTGGATGCATATAAAGTAATTATCACCGAATGTGCATTGAGTGATATTCATTACTATTATTGCACGTTGGCATTATATTGTCTCACCCTTGAAGCAATCTACAATGATTTTATTTTATGTTTCGAGAATAATGATAATTTATTTTAATAAGCAAACTATGCAATATTCTAGAATAAAAATAATGTTAGAGGAAGACAGTCAACGAAGTCACCATACAATTAGAGTGTCGGACACTTGGGCCTTATTGAGCTAGCACGTGAAAAAAAAAGTGATGAACCTAAAATTGGGCTGGTATAAAATTAAAGGGTCATGATATATATACCTCTTTTTTATATAAGTATATTTTTTAAAAACAAATAATTAAATTTTAAAAATATTTTTTAATTTTTTAATTTTACACTTTTAATATTTAATTTAATATTTTTTTCTTTTTTTAATAATTTTTTTTCTTCAGTTTTTACATATATCTTTTTATCTTTCTTCCACTCTCACATATTTCGGTAGATAATTTTATTTTTTTTAGTTTTATATTACTTTCTTTCCTCTCCTCTTTCAGTTTTATCACTACTATCTTCTTCTTTCCTTTTTTTAGTTTTTACACGCACCCGGAACGTATAACTAGTTTTCAACAACAATATAGTCACATATGGTTTTCTCAATAGTGTCGAAAATGTTGAATCAAATGTGCATTTTTTTTCTTAAAGCACTTCCCTCATTTATACGTCTTAAAAACACATCAAATAATTTTAATGTTATAGAAAATACTTTTTTGAATGGTAACCAAGAACATTTTTCAAAATTGGATTTTTAACATGTTTTTAGAAAGTACTTTCTATAACAGTAAATTTATCATTTTAAAAAATATTTTTTGGAATTATGTAAAACAACATACTTCTATAAAGTACTTTTCGAAATATTAATTTTATTATTACAGAAAGTATTTTTCAAAAACATTAATTTTACATAATTTCAAAAAGTTATTTTTGAAATAGTAAATTTACATACTTTTCGAAAGGTTTTTTTACATAATTCTGGAAAGTGTTTTCTATAAATGTGTTATTTTACATACTTTCGAAAAGTACTTTCCAAAACAGCAAATTAGTTTTATGGAAAATATTTTCCAAAAATATGTAAAAAACACAATTCTAAAAAGTTTCTATAACACTAATTTCATTATCCGAAAAAGTATTTTAAAATAGTGAAATTAGTATTTCAAAATGTCTTTTTGATGACACTAAATTTAATGTTAAGGTTTTTGGATGTGCAAAGGGAGATGAAAGGTTGGAAGAAAAAATGTGCGTCTAGTTCAGCATAAACTATTGAGGAAACCAAACGTACTTATAATATTGTCGCATACCAATTCTATAATCTAGGTGCATGTGAAAAAGTGAAAGAGATGAGGAGAGAAGAAAAGAATATAAAAATTGATAGAACTAAAACTATCTATTTAAATAAGTGGGGAATTGGAGGAAGACAAAATGATACATATAAAAACTGAAGAAAAAAGATATATAAGAAAAGAGGAGTGTGAAAAAGAAGGGAAAAAGTAGCAAATTGCAAGTTGGAAGTGTAAAATAAAAAAAAATTAAGAAATAAAAAATTATGGATAGCTTAGGATTTTTTTTTAAAAATTAAAGAAAGTATACTTGTAAAAAGAAAATTGTATATATCATGAGTCAAGATTAAATTACGAGCTTGTTTACGTGGATTATACCTGTTGAGAACAAAAAATCTTTTTTTTATGCACAATAATGATGAGAAACACATTAAAACAGTGTCATAAAATAAATAAGAAAAGTCCATACAAATTTATTTAATGTGGTTCAACCCCTCATGTCTATGTCCACGAGGATGTTCATTATTTATCTCAAAATGTGTTACATATATCTTGAAAATCCTCCCTTCAAGTTTTGTGGGTTAAACTTAAGAATCTCTTCCTCATATGTTTTGTGGGTGGGTGAAACTTGGAAACCCCTCCCTCATAAGTTTTTTGGCAAACCTTGAAAATCATCATTTACAAGTTTTCTAGAGAAACTTAAAAACTCTCTTTCATATGACCTCCTCTTTCATTTAAGACGGTGACCCTCTCTACAGGTCGGATAATTATTCTCATCTCAAGAGTCTCTATTTATTGACCTTACATTGTAATCTTAAAAGAGGAAACAAATCTCTAAAACAAATACAATATATTTCAATTTTAAATAATATCCTAAAAGAATCAATACCTTTTAAAATTTAAATACTATCTTAGAGATTTGAATTTAAAAATTTGAATTGTTTTCCCAACAATATCACACACCCAAATAATCTCCAAATTATAAAAATAATATTATAATAACAATATTATATAAAAATAATAATAAGAAAGTGGTTTGATAAAAGAGTCTGAAATTAAGAAAGGGTTTTAAAGATTTAAAATTAAAAAAATATATATATAATAAATGACACTCATTTTTATAAAGAATTACATTAGGTGGACAATTAATGTGACCCCAAATGATATTGGACTCCTTTGGTTTAAACTATGAGAGAAAAAAGGAAGGAATTTTAATGAAAGGGGTGACACAAAAGGGAAAAATAGAGGAGGAGAGGGGTTAACAATTTTGTTTGGTTGAGAAAATGAAAGATTTTTTTTCTTTGTTTACAAGGAGAGAAGATATATTTTAAAATTTATTTTACTTTTATATCCCTACAATTTTAAATTTAATAATATATGTAAATATATTTTAGACATTTTGATCTATTTGTTTAAACTTGAAATAAGTGTTTTTATACAAGTGCTTTTAAAAAACAAATAGGAATTGGTGAAAAACATTTTTTCTTTCTTTTGGGAAGGAAAACTTACGTAGGTTTTTCAATTCTCAAAAGAATCCTTCAATACATAAGTTCTAACTCTTTCTAACATTTTTTAAACTTGTTATAATATTCTGTATTTGGAGTAGGTTTAAGAGTTATTTTGTTGA